TATCAATATAAGTATTATTTAAAAAACTGTCTAATAATAGAGTTCTATTTATTAAACAAACAAACTAAATTTAATTTTCAACAACATGTTTTGAAATCGGTATAAATTGTTGTAATATAAACTAAATTATCCAGATCTTTTCCCAATAAAAAATTAATAAGGAATTACGGATATAAGGTTAATAAAAAATGATTTGTTATAAAAACGAAAACTAGATTGTTATTTCAATTAGAAAGATATTAAAAATTCCACAATTATAAGTTGACAAATTGACGTTTTTAATCAAAACACTTTTTGAATTTTGTGCATATCAATAATAAAATCCAATTGTCCATTTATCAAATTTTAAACAATTTAAAAATATTAAAAAATACTTGTTTTAAAATAAAATGATTAATATTTAAATCTTGTTATTACTTTAAATTTGTTAATTGTTATTAATTGAATAGAATAATTTGGAAGCAAAACAAAACAGCACATATTTATGTATATTTTCAGAGAAACATACCAATTCAATAATTGTACACTTCCTTAAAAACTTTAAACCAGTTTTTATTATTAACACAAGTTTTTCTAAAATAAGTGTTGTCTAATTTGAATTGTACTAACTGTGCTACATATACTCGAGATTTAATAAAATAAAAAACGTTTATTATCCAAATACTAAACATTAGACATTTTAATCACGTTTTTTATTATTAAACTTAAAGTACCAAAAAGTCTATAATAGATGAAAATAAAATATTATAAATAACTAAAAAACAAATATCAAGGAGACAACTTGGTCGAGTGGTCCAAGGCGTATGACTAGAAATCATTTCTTATTTGAGGCGTAGGTTCAAATCCGGCCGTTGTCGTTATATTATTTTATTTTGGATAATAAAAAACAAAATATATTGGTTGTGTATAAAACAAAATGCATTTGCCGAGACTCGAACCCAGATTTCCACCTTGGAAGGGTGGAATTCTGCCCTTAGACCACAAATGCTTCTTATTTAATCAATAATAACGACGATTTATATCACATAATATAAATCATTAATAAAGCAAAATCAATGGATTATTTCGTGTAATACTCGATCCACAATCAATTATAATCATGTTTCAAACAATTATGAAATAAAAATAATTGAATTAATCAATTGCTATTTTAATTAATTATTACTATCATTGTTATTATTACAAAACTTTGTCAAGATGTTAAATTGTAATTGTTCAAAATATACTTATTATCTGTTTATCCTTAATAATGAAAAGGTTTCTAATTGGGATTTTCAACAGACCAATATATTGATAATTAAAAATGATCTCGGCGGGGATAGAACCAGCTACCCTCGCATTTCTTTATTCTATAAGTTAGATGCACTTCCGACTGTGCTACGGGTTTTTCTAAATAATATAAATAAATGTCTAATGTTTTAGTAACATAAGTTTAATTTAAATAATTATTTTCATTAATTATATAACCAAATCAAAAACGATTGTGTTTTTGTAATAAACTAATTATATAATATTTGGAAATACACAAAAATTTTAATTGAGTATTTTAGACAGAACCAAAATATTATAAAGTCGAAATATGTGTTAACACATTTTAAAGTGTAAATTTATAATATAAATTGTAATTATAAGTTTAAATACGAATTAAAGAAGTTGATTTGAAAACAAAATCCGACATTGAATAGATTTGTGTAATTGGTTTTTGTTATTAAATTTATCGGTTTTATTATCACTGTTTTTAAGTTTGCTTTCTTGTTTTTTGTTATAAAATACACTAACTAAAAATTGAACCCCGAAACAGTGGTCTGGAAATAGAAACCTCGCAGCATTGGCCTTAGTGCTTTCTATATATAATATGAATTCATTATATATTGACATTTCGATTAACATTAAATGTTTTTCAATGTATAAATTGAATGGGTATAACACATTTATTGGAATATGTCAAACATGTGTTGATAGGTAAACTATAATAACAAATTCAAATACAAGGTATGGGTTTTGTTTTAAATATAATTCAGAACGAGAAACGAGCTCAAAAACAACAAGAAAATGCTACAAATGTAACCTGGTTATAACCCACAATCTGTTTTATTATATCATGTAGATCTTTTGATTCACATTGTACAACTTGTGCATCGGATTTTACTCGAAATGTGTTACATGTGATAACAATTATTATCCAAACGCATCAGGAAAGTATGTTACATGTTCTTTGGGCTGTTCCACTTGTAATTTTCAAAATGGGACATGTCAAAATTGTGTTCCAAATCACATCTTTGATACAACAGATCATACAAATTGCAGTGAATGTTCAACACTTCCAAAATGTGTGACATGTCCAATTGACTTCTCAAGAAAGTGTATTGCTTGTCAAAGTGATTCGTATCCAATTAATGGAGTGTGTTCCAATTGTCACACAACACGTGGAGGAACGTGTAATACAGAGAATGGCCAGTGCACTGGATGCCAAAATGAATTTGTATTTTCAGATACAAATCCATTGGAATGTGTTGCGTGTCAAAACTTTGACTCAAGGTGTACCACCTGCTCAGAAGACTTTACAAGAATGTGTAAAATATGTGATGTTGGGTATAACACAAATGAACAATTTCGATGTGTACCATGTTCAACAATACATATCAATTGTAATTCGTGTAATCAAACACAAAAGGAGTGTTTGCAGTGTAAAGATCCGTATTATTTGAGTTCACCATTGGAATGTAGTATTTGCACTGGATTTTTCAAGTTGAGTGAAAGTGGGTGTGGCGATTGTAATGAGAAAATCGCCAATTGCAAACAGTGTGGAACTGTCAGTGTAGGCAACGCAAAGTGCTCTTTTTGTTTTTCTACGTATGTGCCAAATGCTGCAGGAAATTGCATTATATGCAGCGAAAGGACTTTTTATACATATACAAAAGAACCAACGAGAGAAGTTGGGAGCTGTCAGGCTAATACAATACAAAATTGTGTAAATCAAATGAACTTGACAATGTGTGTTTTATGTGCACATCCAGATTTCCTTTCAGAAGGAAATTGTGTGACAACAAAGAACTGTTTGAGTCCATCGACAGTGGTACAAACGTCGTGTGATTGTTCGGAACATATTTCAATTAATTCTGATTGTGTTGCGGTGGGGAGTGGTTGTAAATATCAAAATTCGACGAAAAGGAAGAACTACTGCGTTCAATATCATAACAATTATCGAATGAAAACACAGAAGGAATGTGTTAAAAGTGATGATATAACAGTTTTGAATGATGTGAATTATAAATGCAAAGATGGTCAATATTTAGATCGTAATAATATGTGTCAAGAATATGACATGACTTCAAGCATATGTTTCCAAGGAAAAGACAATCGTTGTATATCAAAAGAAGAGGTAAATTGTGTCAAATCGAATTCGTTTGGATGTGTGCAGTGTAAAGAACGGTTTTACACTTTTGGGGAGAAAAATAAAAAAAAACAAGTTTGACTATTGTCTTCCCATTTCAACGAATAGAGAAAAGTACTGAAAATTCGACAAAATTAAATTATAGAGAAAATGAAGAACACAAGAAAATAGGAGAAAGATCTTTTGGAGTTGTCTACAAAAGCACTTTCAGTGGAAAAATCGTTGCTATTAAAGGGTTTCTTGAGGATAAGGTGTATCCTCAGGATTAAAGCTATCCTTATTAATAAATATTTTTCTGAGGATACAAAAATCAAATCCATAAGGTTCAGTTCCCCATAAGGCCCACTTTCATAACTCAAGTTATAATTTACACTTAATATTTCAAGTCAAAGTTCAAATTTTAAATAATGGTAATAATTTGTCATAAATGCCAAAAAATTAAAAACAATCAAAAAAATCGCCACAATAATCAGTAAACAAAAACTATAATTATATCTCGCGAACTTGAGACGGGAAATAACAAAACATGAATTAAACTTGTTCATATTATGATTATTTACTTATTGAAATTATTTCCGAATCCTTCTTTATAACATAATAATTAAAATTTAAGTTTAAATTGATAATTGTTTTTTAATCAAAATGAAAATTGAAAAAGTCGAAAACACTGATTTAATAATAATGTGATTTTAAAATAACAAATTTATTAATAATTTTGTAATTTATGCAATTATTCAAATTTATTGTAATAACAAAGTTAATCATATTGTGTATATTTTAATATGATTGTTTCATTTTGATTTTAACTTGTGTTTTAAACAAATTTACAGTTCTGAGGATGGCAATTATTTTCTGAGGTTGACAGAAATAGAAAGTTTTCACTTTTACATCTGTCTGAAATGTATATTGAGTAAGTTACTATTTTTGGATATGGGAACACATCATTTCACTTTTTAGATGTTTAAGTCCGTGTTGATAATGTCTGTTTGTTACACGACTTACCATCCTCAGAGATATTTATAGCACTGCCACTATTGATTTAAAATTATATAAATAAAATTATCAAAGAATTTTTATAAAGTGAGTTTTGATAATTGATTATATCAAAAATCGTCAAAACACAACAAAAACGCCAATTAATATATATAATTGATAAATAAATTGAACACATTTTTATTGAGAATTGATATTGTATAAAAAAATAATATAAACATATATTTCTTGTGTATATATGTTTTGAAATATAAATAAAACGGTTTAAAACAAAAATGATTTTATTTTAAAAATTTGTTTATTTATCAATCATTGTTTCATCGATATCCAAAACCTCTCTTTTTGAATTTGCGCAAATACATAAATTGTCATCGCATAGAGTATACGTTATTAATACGTTATTTGCTATCAATTTTATTGTTTGAAATATCATGAATTGATATATAATAAATTATTTTTGTAAAAAAAAATTAAAAATTGTTCGATTAATTTGTTTTGTGATTTTTATTAAAAAATCGACTTTTTCGATAATTAAAATGTCTGTCAAATGTTTTCATATTAACCAAAGTTAGTCTTGTGGTAAATCAGAAAATAGAAGTAGATTATTTTTTTGTAAAAATCAACTGAAAGAATCATCTTTCAAAAAATCCATAAATAGCATTTTTAAAGAAAATCACGTGTTTCAAAATATACCTTTTTGATCTTAGGCAAAAAAATCTAAATTGAAAGAAATTATGTTTAAGATATTTACCATCCTCAGAAAAATTAACAATCCTCATGAATCCCTTAAAAAAGATGAAATTATCAAATACAACTGAAGAGCAAATTAACGAGTTTGAGAAAGAGATTATAATGCTAGATAAATTCAGAAATGAGTACATTATCCACTTTTATGGTGCTGTGTTCATTCCAAACAAAGTGTGTATGGTGACTGAATTTGCACCATTTGGGTCTTTACAAGACTTAACGAATCATTAACTAAGTTCAGAGGTTTGTATTAAACTTAGAATAAAAATAATGTTGGATGCAGCAAATAAGATAAGTTATTTACACTCAAATGGGATATTACACACAGAAATCAAGCCAGACAACATATTAGTGTTTTCATTTGATTAAAATAATAAAGTGAATGCTAAATTGACTGATTTTGGAAGTGCCAGAAATGTGAATTTGTTGATGACTAACATAACATTCACAAAGGGTATTGGAACACCAGTGTACATGGCAACTGAAGTACTTTTGAAACAGAAATATACTAAAAGTGCAGACATAGTCTCATTTGCAATAACAATATACGAGTGCTTTAAATGGGGAGAAGCGTATCCGATCAATGAATTCAAGTTTCCATGGAAGATAGCCGAGTTTGTCATGGAAGGAAAAAGACTGAACAATAGTAGAGTAATACCAAAAGGTATTTACAACATCATTCAACTTTCGTGTAAACAAAATCCAAAAAAAGAATTGATATCAACCAGATTATTAACAACATGCAAAGTGTTTCTAATACACCAAAATGAATTGTTTTATTGGTTTTATATAGATAATTACTAATAAATATTCTATAAATTAAATTTTCATTGTTTTTTTATTAAAATTTAAGTAAATTAAGATTATCATAATACATTAATGTTATTTTTTGGTTTTAAAAGCAAATTAAAAGCGTTTAATAATTTTTTGACTAATTTTTATACTTAAAATATTTCAGTTATAATAGTATTAAAACGGAGTGGTGATACAACAAATACTCTCAAAAGGAATAAAACGAAATAAAAAAGTGTTTTTAATACGCTTGGAAACTCAACCTATGAAAGAATTTGTCGAAATAATTATATTTTAACTCGTATTTTTTGACAAATGTAAGTAAAATTACTAAATCACAGAAAAACATGTGACCAGTATTTTAAACGTTTTTTGATTAAAAAAATTTCGTTATACAATTGTTCCTTAAACAATAAACTTTATAAATAATCGACTTTTTATTTTGATTTTTTTTAGGAAATTAGAATATAAACAAAAATAGCAACAAAAAATAAAAACATAGACAAGTTTGGTAAAATCCCAAAAAGGTTAGTAAATATAGTTTTTTCTAATGTTAAAATAATACCCTATTTAACTTACTGTTTTTGGAAATTGAACATCAAACAATTAAAATACACCTACTAATATTGAAATGTAAAATTAAATTACATTTTTGGTATAACAAGGTGTATGAAAACGATAAAATAACAAATACTAAAAATTATGGTAAATTTGTCATAATATTTAGTAATTATTTTTCTCCAAACAAAAAACGTCAAATATTTTATTTCCACAAATATCAAATTTTCTTTAAAAAAGTTTTTTTTGTTCCTTAACACTTAAAATAACTCCCTTATTTTGTTTTGGCCTGTTTTTACAGGGATATTAATCCAATTTTTGATGAATTTCCTTTTTGCTTGTGTATTTTTTATGCACATAAAATAAACTCTAAAAAACGGAAATTTATTTAATAAACTCGACATTTGCCCGATTTTTAGACCACTTGAATTTTGTTCAATGTAATTTAAAGTGTTAAACATGAACAAAAAAATGTTTTGTTCTTTTATTAGTCACAAAAATAGTTTTCTCATTGTGTGTGAAACCTCATACAAGGCAATAGAAACTTGATAAAATTAAATGAACAGCTAAAGTGTTTTAATATTGATGTTAATCACTTCTATGTTTAAATTTGTGAAAACCACCTCAATGCAATTGGGGTATGTTATGTATGAATGCGTTGTCTATATTATATATTATTATTATGTCAATATTAATTCAACTAAAAATGTTAACGGCTTTATATACAAATTCTGTGTGTAGGAAAAAGAACATATTATAAACCCAATACTACATTACAATTATTATGTTACACATCCGCAATTATTTCGAAACCGTGAAAATGGACTATTCGGCATTGAAACTTCTTGTTTTTCAAAAAACAAACCAGCAACTAAACAATATGAAAGAAACATACAAGAAAAATACAAAAAACAAAACTTTGTTAAACTAACATTACAACCAATGATCGGAAAAGAAATTTTTACAAAACAAAGAGAACAAATTGTAAAAATGACAAATGACTTGGTGTCTATAGAAAAGGTAGTAAAAGTTTATGAGAGATCCGGATCAGAAGAAGAATTCAATATTACAAAGGAACAAGAGGAAAAAGAGAAAATAAAAATCAATAAAGAAAGGTCATTATGCGTTGCCTCAAAAAGATTCGACAATCCAAAGAAAGAAACCATTCAAGAAGTCACAGTCTGTAAATCAAATGTAAACAGTGAGCAATGTGATCAATTGCATCAAAATAAACAACAAAGTGTGATGCAAAATACAACTCAAAGTAGTAGCCTTACATCAAAACGCATTATCACGTTTAATACAATTTACATACAATTTGATTGGTTGTAACACTTTACCATCCATACAAAGTACTTCAATTTCACAAAGAGTCTGCAGCCTATACACAACGAACAATTCAATCAAAGTTCTTGTCAGGCTGCAGATTTGACTCAGATAACTCAAAAGAGTCAA